TTCTTTGGAGGTTTTTAAGCAGAGGCTGGATGGCTATTTGTCAGGAGTTCCTGCATGGCAGGGAGTTGGACTCGATGGCCCCTGTGGTCTCTTCCAACTCTGAGATTCCATGATTCTATGATGTTGCTGATACTAAAACTCCTGCATTAGGTCACTTGTAATCTGCTTAGAACCCTTGCTTGGTGGTGTATCCCTGCTTTCCCATCTTCCACTTCATTTTTTCATTATAGAAGGAGGGTGCTTTATCTTCCCATTCCTCTCACAAGCACTAACATGACTTAGTGTAGTACTCTTTCAGAAGGCCTAAACTGCTACTCTAATTCATAATATTGTCTACTCAATCTAGCTTACTTCTCAGTCTGCAGAAGGCAGTCATTCTAACCAATTGAAACATGATGGCGTAGTCTCGCTTGCAGACGTGGGATGGGTTGCTGAAGAAGAAGGTGAAGTCTGTACACGGCTCAGGTATGTTTCTCAAAATGTTCCTTCAGTGACTAAATCAAGTTGTGACCAGAGTATGAACTTGAACTGGGTGGCCTATTCAGTTGACTGCTGGCAGGGTTTTGTTGCTAAGGGGGGGAAATATGAAACCATAACCATAACCATTGTCAGGTTTCAGCACTTAGGGCTCATGGAGAATAGGGATGGCTGGTGCTTGGATATAGGCTAGACTTCTGTACTCTGACTCTAGATCAGTGGAGTGCCTTCTGGATGGGCTGGATTCATATTGGCACTACTTGGACAAGTAATATGGGTGAATGGGGGACATACTGATGGGAATAGGATGAGAGTTCCATTTTGTACCACTGAATGGTTACATTCTGTGTTATATAGAATGCATAGAAATAAGATGCTCAAGATTCATCTTGAAGTGAGGACATATTATTCAATTAGTTGGATATCATATAAGCAAGGTTTTATTAATTTGTGTAGGAAAAAAGGGAACAATCCCACATACAAAAACAAAGCAGACACTTCACATGGACATGAATTAATTCACAGTAAAGATCTAAAGCAGGACAGTATAACAAAGCATTTTATATAAACATCATTAGAATTGAAGAATGAAATCTGTTGCTCAGTGGCTGGAATCCTGTCTGCACAAGTTGCAAAATCAACTGCAATTATATAATTATTGTTTCAGGCAGATTAAAAGCTTTTTATTCCTACCTCAGGATCCCTAGGAGTCCAGTTCATCTTATAAAGTCTTTCAGAGCTGCAGAATAGTGCAAGGAATGATTTAAAGCTGGAAATTTGCCACAGCAGTCTCAACAGTGAGAACAGAAATGGCAATTTTCCAGCAGTAAATTCACCCTACCCCATTCTGCAATCTCCTGAAGATTTCCTAGGATGCAAGGCACCCCTAGGGATCCCCGGAACCGGGGTGGTTGTGGTGGTGACAATAGGAAGCTTTCAATCCCCCCCAAAACAACCACAGGGTGGACATGACAGATGATGTCAACAGAGTTGTGCATTGTGTATCTTCACCAACTGGATTCTGGCTGACAAAACTTTGTGTGTGTGTGTGTGTGTGTGTGTGTGTGTGGGTGTGTGTGTGTGTGTGTGTGTGTGTGTGTGTGTGTGTGTGTTATTAAAAACAGCATACAGTTTTGCTGAAGTTCAGTAAAACATTTTCAGCACTTAATACTAAACCTGAAATTCAGCAGAATCTTGGGATTGCTGCTTTTCCAATGGTGCTGTTTTAAGTTCTACAGAGGTCATTTTCTGGCTTAGAGTCTGCAGAATGAATCTCAGAATGGCTTCATTTTACTTTGTTGATACTGCTGCTTATGCTTGTAAGCACTATTGTTATATTTATCAATTACAGAGCAGAAGTCTGTCCAAAATCACAACCATTTCTCAGAGCTGAAGACTGTTCAGTGAGAGACCTAATACCAAAGCAATCAGAAGTAAAGGAGGACTCCAAGACTGCAGTGGTTACAAACAATGAAGCTTTGCAGAAAATCAGTGCATTAGAAAATGAACTTGCCACTTTAAGAGCACAAATAGCCAAAATTGTAAGCTTACAAGAACAGCAGCATTTGACAGCAGGTATTTTCTTCCTTTTTCTTTTTAAAACTTGTAACCAAATCAGTAGTATTATTTAAATAGTCTTTATTCAGAGGGGTGCCACCAACATGAGTATACATACATTGTAAGTGGTGACTTGTAGCCCACTTCTTGACTTGCATGAGATGAAAAAAAAAGTGAAGTGCTTCTTGCTGTTCAGTCCATCCAGACTGAAATGGGAATATTCATATTAAGAAGCAACATTTCAAAAACTGGAGCCTCAAGGTGATCTTGAGGAACTGATTTGTTATCAGACTTGTGTTTGTTTTATGAAATCTGTCTGGCGGTTATTGAAACTTATTTGAAACTTGTCCTTATAAATGAAAACAACTTTATAAAAGCTTCACAGTAAATGCTTTTGTGATGCTGTGATTAGTCCTTACAAAATTTCCAATTTATTCATCCTTGATTAATGATTTCTGAACAGAAATTGACAGGTTGTACTGGGAAGAGGTATAGAAATCAAATGAACAATTCTTTTGTATTCACTTATCTTTGACTTATGTTGCTGTGATTATCTTGCCTTTTGTTAGTAACCTGCACATGACAGTGAAGGGTACTGGAAGGATTAGAAGAAAGAAAAAATGTCTTTTTCAGTAGCATGGACTTACGTTCTTGATATTCAATTTTCTAGAAGTCATCAATGCCTGCTGCCAACATCAGCACAGTGTACAGAGCAGTAGAATCTAAATCACTGTTGTACAGTCTGAATATGTAAAATCTAGTAATTTCTTTATAATAGGCACACATTGTTTTTGGTTCCCAGAACACATCCAGATGTTGGCTAGGAGTTTAACACATCCCACATCTACATTTGCACATCCACCACCATCCCTTTATTTCACTACAGAAATGGGAAGATTGAAACTGCTCTTCCTTGCTGCTTGAATCGGGAGGTGAGGGGCAGGTGTAAAAGATTGAAGTTAAAAGGTCTTCCCTTTCCCAGCAACCACAGATTACTGTTTCCCTGCTTCTACTGGTGGCCAAAGAAAGATGATCTTAGAAGCCAGGAAATGATTTGGTTGTTTTTTCTGCTGAATAAAGTTAGTATGGCCCCACTAATTTCACAGATGCAGATTGCACACCCATTTGACTGAGGATATAGTTGTCATACATAACTGCCAGCATTTTCTCTCAGGCTGTAGTAGCTCTTAACATAACACTCATTGGTAAACATTCTGAGGAGTGTTCACTCCTGACAGACCAGAGAATGGGATTTGGAGACCTTCTTCTCTTTAAAGTCATTCCGTAAGCTTGAGAGGTTTGTATATTTGGCTTCTGATAGCTGATCTGTCTCTGTCAGTAGTTTCCTGAAGGCTTAGGTTAAGGGCTCAGCTGGCTTTTACCATCAGTGGGTATTCTCTCAGGAACTGAATGCAATTAAATGTATAATATTGACCAGAATGTCTGCTCTATATCCACCCGGAATTGGAAGTCTAGTGTCAGTACACTTAACTGTGGCCAAGTAGCATATTTGTTAGGAATAGTACACATCTGTTCTTTCTCCACTGTTTCTTGCACTCATATGGAAACAGTTCAAGATGGAGGCATAATACTAAGACATCCGGCAAATGCCACTCTAATTGATAAATACATTACATTTTCCACGTATTATGCTATACTGAGGTATCCTTTTGAAATAAAAAATGTTGTTTACAAAAGAATGACACTGTGAGCTATTTTAAGTGTGTAGTTTTGTTACAGGTGCAACAAGTTATTTTACATCAACCTCTGTTCCAGCACCAGGAGTGCCGCCGCCGCCGCCGCCGCCTCCTCCTCTTCCACCTCCACCAATGCTCCAGCAGGGCCCCTCTGCCATTGACCTTATTAAGGAACGCAAAGGGAAAAGAATGAATTCTAGACAGAGTACAATAGATAATAATCCAAAGAAGCCTGAAGTGCCAAACATGATGGATATCCTCAAAGATATGAACACTGTAAAGTTGCGATCAGTGAAAAGGTGAATATATATATTTCTTTTTTTTCCCTGCCCATAAACACACAGGAGTGGGAAGAGGAGTACAGTGGGCTCTCAACTTACGAACTTAATCCATTCTGGGAGGACGTTCGTATCTCAAAAAGTTCATAAGTCAAAGTACCATTTCCCATTGAAATGCATGGGAACGGAATTAATCCGTTCCAGCATTTCAAAAAAATGCCAGATTTAAAATAAAAAGAGCAAGTCCCACGTTGGGACTGCAAAAAACACACACACAACAACAACAACAACAAAACTACAGAAACATAATTCCCCCAGTCCAAACCCACCCTCCAAAACGAACACAGAAAAGTTTTTTTTTTTGTTTTTTTAAAAAGGATTTACCAGTCCCAAGCCTGCCGGTGGTCCGCTGATTCCGCTGTGGCCAGGGCCGAGCAGCCAAGCGCCCGGCCAGCTCTAGCCTCCCAGCGCTGGGTGAGCTTTGGTGGCTCCGAAGCCAAAAAGGCAGGGAGAAAGGGCGGGAAATTCGAATTTCCTGCCCTTCCTCCCTGCCTTTGGAGCTTTCAAAGGGCTTGAGACCTCCCTGGGGGTCCCCGCCGCCGCAATCGTCTGCGGAGGTTTCAAAGGGCATTCCCCTGACATCGGAGGAAGCCCTTTGAAAGCTCCAAAGGCAGAGAGGAAGGGCAGGAAATTCGAATTTCCCACCCTTTCTCCCTGCCTTTTTGGCTTCGGAGGTTTCAGAGGGCTTCCTCCAACGTCAGAGGAAGCCCTTTGAAAGCTCCAAAGGCAGGGAGGAAGGGCAGGAAATTCAGATTTCCTGCCCTTTCTCTCTGCCTTTTGGGTTCATAACTCGATCCGCGTTCGCAAGTAGGGTCTACTACTTGCAATGCGATTGGCTTTATAACCCGAAATGTTGACAACTAGGGCCATTCGTAAGTCGAGGGCCCACTGTAGTTACAGTGAGGAACTATAATATTTTGGTTGTTGCTTAGTATAGAATTAGAAATACCCACTCATATGCTCAATCTTGGTAACTGTTGGTCCACCGCAAAAGGCAATACTTTCTTTCTTGATGGTATATGTTTTAATATTAGGGAGAGCATTTAATGTCACTCTTACTGTATAGCCTTTCTTCTCCTTTTAAATCAGCAAGAATACTTGGCACTATCACAGATAAAATAAAGGAGTATTGTAATAACATTCCCTTCCATGTTTTCTGTGAGTAGATGTTGTGCCAAATAAGAGGCCCTGAACTGAGAGATGGGCTATATAGTACTCATTGCTGATGCTCCTAGTACTTGAGGTAGGATGCAGAAGAGGAGATGGAAAAAGAATAGCAGGAAATCTATTAGCAACTTGTTGAAGTTTCTGTGGTATAAATCTTTGCTTCACTTTTTTGAAGACCAGATGAAAGCACAAAAAGAAAAACAGCTGACCCAACCGACCCTGCAACACTAATAGCTGAGGCTCTTAAAAAGAAGTTTGCTTATCGATACCAGAGTGACTGCCCAAGTGAGACTGAAAAACAGACATTTTCATCTGAAGCAAGACCAGTAAGTGCTATGCCCAAACACTGATTCACTATAGAATCATTTCAAAGTGGTGGATGAACATTTTTCTACCCTGATGACCCAACTCAAACCAGAGTCTGGAGGTGGTTTTCCTGTTCCTGGGTTATCGGTGAAGAAAAGGTTTCAGTCTAGATGTAGTGGCAGGTTTTTTCACTTTGTTCATTTCTGATTAGTTCAGTGTTGGTGGACAACCCATAGACCATGTGGTCCACCTCTCTTGCCCTTGCCCACCAATTCCCTCACAGGTAGTGTGAAAAGGGTCCTCCCACATAACCCTCTTCAAGAGTATAATTGGGTTTCTACTAAACACCCCATTGAGTATGTATGAACTAGTGTTTTTGTGCATCACACTTGCAAGCATAATTGGATTCTCTCCAGGTCACTACGAGCTAGTGGGAGCTGAACTGCACATGTGGGAGAGTCTTCCCCAGGCCCCATGGCAATAGTATTTCTTATTGCTTGTTGTGGGGGTGGGGGTTAAATTAAAGCATGTCCTACCACCATGCCATTCATAGTATTGAAGATTACTGAAGTGGGGAGGATGCTTTAGCTCTGTCCCCATCCTAGCAGTCCAGCTCTGAATTTCTGATTGCTGGGATGGGGTGACATGAAAGCCTCCCTACCTTTGCAGCCTAGGAAGCAGAGAGTGCAGGCATGTGCATGCGTAGTCCGTTGCTGCTGGCCCAATAGGCCCTGAGGACCACAAAGTTTGGTTTTCCACCTTGGCAGAAATGGTTGGACAGTGTGCACAACGCTGTGTCTTGGTAAGGCTGAATTCTGTGCAATTTTGGCCTGCTGTTAGAAGCAGAAGGTGGAAACACATGGAAGGATTGCATTTTGAGCTCCTATACAGTGGTGCCTCACATAACGATCGGTCTGTTTAGCGATGAAATCACATTGTGATGGACTTTTTGCCATCGCAAGAGCGATCGCTTTGCGATGGCCCCTATGGGGAAAATTTGCTTTGCGATGATTGCGGGGGAGTGCTCCCCCACGATCATCGCAAAGGCCCCGCCGGTCAGCTGTTCCAAAAAACGCGCTTTGCGCTGCTCACAGGGAAGCGCTTCCCTGGGAGCAGCCCAAAGGCTCACTTTTTGGAACAGCTGACCATCGAGCCT